TTAATTGAATTTACTTGAAATTTTGGTGTTTTTCGAAGTATTTTTGACTTTTATCAGAATCTGTCAGAAAACTATAAACGCACTCGTGATTTTTATAACTAAAAACAATCAAATATGGATAATTTTATATTTTTATAATGAGTTATCCTTCCTTTATTATAAATAAAAAAAATTAGGGCCATATCTTTACTAGAAGTCGAGATCCAGATACCTCGAAAATCAACGTAAATAGGGGGTAAGGCTAATTAAAAAATCTTTTCGACCCCTTATGGTTTGTTTTAAATTTCCATTTTGGGCTCATTGAAAGCCCTTAAAATTTGCTACAAGAAAAATGGATGTTGTATTTCAGAGAAAAATTCATTAGAGAGATATAGACCGTTAATTGCCCGGAGCTAATTTTATGGGGCATCTAGGTGTTTTTCTCTGCCTTAAAGATTTAAAACTTAATAACTTTCTGAAATATTTTTTCCAGAAAATAAAACTATGCTATCTTATAGCAAATTTTAAGGGCTTTCAATGAGCCCAAAATGGAAATTTAAAACAAACCATAAGGGGTCGAAAAGATTTTTTAATTAGCCTTACCCCCTATTTACGTTGATTTTCGAGGTATCTGGATCTCGACATTGAAGTGAGATATGGGGCCTTGAAGTGGGAAGCCCAACAATGGTGTTTTTACACAGGTCCGAGCACTTTAGGACCCGGTTCTTAATGCCCCTCCCTCGAATAATCCCCCCTCTCGATTAATTCCCCATGCTAAAGTTGAAACAATAATTCCCCACCCCCAAATACCCTACTGCACGTTCAAATGCCAAAACTCGATTAATTCCCCTCCCTCGATTAAGTCCCCATGCCAAGAAGGGGTTGAAAAACTAATTCCCCAGGGGAATTAATCGAAAAAATTAATCGAAATAATCGAAAAATTTTAGGAAAGTTTGCATATTTTGGCCTTTATGCGCATATTTGGCGATTTTGCGTGCAAGAAAAAATTTTTGCGTGCAAAAAAAATTAAAGAAAAATATTTTTCAGACAAATAAAACGAATCCCATGACCTCATTCAACATTAAATTATTTTAATAAAAACAATTTATGAGAATATTTTTAAATTATAGTTAGGTGGGCACTATATAGTAGGACAAAATAATTTTTAATTAAAAGTAAAAGTAAAAATATTTAAAAGTAAAAAGTGTGGGATAATTAAACAAAAATTTTTTTGTTTAATTTTCTTAGAATTAAATAAATTTGTATTTGGTATAAAAAATTTAAATAAAGTTTTAGTAAACATTTTCGTAAATAACTTTGTAAAAAATTAATACATGCGTGTATAAATACTTCCTTTAAAAACTTATTAGTAAATGCTTGTATAAATTCTTTATTTAACAAGAAAAAATGTCAATAGGAGAAACAAATTCAACAATAATTTATTGTTTTGCTACATTTGGATTGTTTTCTAATTGGTTTTTAATTTGGCTAATTTTACGTTATACAATGAAAGAAATGCAAGTTTATAGCAAAATACTTTTACAAACTTGTTTTGTTGATATTGTTGGGATTTGTATGTTTGTTGTTTCTCAACCGGTAAATAAATATTTGGGCGCGGGAATGTTTTGGCGTGATTATCTAAAACCCCGCGCGAAGCGCGGGGTTTGCACAAGCGCCTCGGCTACGCCCCATAGGTTTACGTTGACCATTTTGAGCGTCATTATTAGTGTTGGTCACGGTACGGTATTACCGCGGTATTTTTCGGTAATACCGCGGTATTTTTACCGAAATACCGATACCGATACCGCCTCAATCAAAATACCACGGTATTTCGGTATTTTCCAGGTAGACTAAAAAGTGAGTTTTTTCGCCTACGGCCTTCCGAAATTTTCAAAATTTTCGCCTGCGGCGCTGAAAAAATAAGAAAGTTGGCTTACAATTCTAAAATTTTGGCTTCCGGCGGTTAAAAATGGAAGAAATCTGGCTTCATGGCCTTCAAAATTTTTCAAAATTTTCGCCTGCGGCGCAAAAAATGAAGAAATTTGACTACAGGCGATCACTTTTGAGTCCAGTAAATGCAGAAATGTTAATTTTTCTGAACCAAACACTTCCATTGATTCATTACAAATACTAAATTCACTATTTATTCACTATTTATAAATTTATTTTACATTTATTGTATTAAATTCGCTCATCTGGTAAATTTTCAAAAAATACCGAAATACCGCGGTAATACCGACTATTTTTCGTCGATATTTTTCGGTATCGGTATTTTACCGAAAATACCGATACCGAAAAATCGCGTTTGACCAACACTAATCATTATCTCGGCTAATTGTTGAGACCGAGAGCTGATTTTGGTGTCATTCGACTCAGCTCGAGGAGCTCTTTCAAATGAGTTATCATTAAAAAATTGAATTTTTCACCCCAAAATTGTGCTTACTCCCCCTAAGGTTTTTCTAATTTCGTGACCTATATCTCGGTCCAAAGGCATTTCCGCACTTGGGGAGTGGCACCGTTCGACTCAGCTCGCCGAGACGAATCAAATGACATATGTTTCGACCCGGGTTGGGCGGGCCCTTGACTAAACTAATTTGTTATAATTTTTCTTTTTTTACTTATTCATGATCACTTTTTCATAGATTTTATAAAATTTAGGAAAATATTTGATATTTTTTATGCTTAATAAAAATACGGGAACTTTTGCCGCACCCTGTAAATTCCCTAAAAAAGAAAATTAATTTTCCCGTTTAAAAGTAGGTTAAAAATTATCTTACAATATTCTATAAAATTATTTAATTAACAAGGTTTATACATCTGACAAGGGTGTTGGTACTGTTTGGAATTACGGACCTATACATTTCTTACCAAATCCTTGGCAATGTATACTTTTATGTTTCAATTATTTTATGTCAAGAGTTACCTCAATGAATGTCTGTACACTATTTATTTATCGTTATTTTGCTGTTGTACGGTAACGTTCTTATCAAGGCTTTAAAAATATAACTTTTATATACAGCAGTGTTGATATTAAATTTAAACACCAATTATTATTAATTGTTGGAATGATAATTCCAATATTTGTATTATTTACCTTTTCTTATATATCAAACCATCCAACGCCAGAAAACGAATATTTAACTAATTATGAGTTGGCAAAAACATTGGGATTGGATAATTATACAATTGAAAATTATGTTGTTGGACTTAGATCAAGAGTAAGACAATCCCTGATTGAGTTAAAAATACGAGGCTAGACACGAAAAGAGTCTTTTGAAGGCGCTGGAACTGGAAATTAGACTTACGGAAAACTCCCCACGTTCTCCGAGAAAATGGAAAGCTCTAACAAAGGAGAGGCTTTTGGGTGTCCGAGGGACTTCGGGCGAAACGGTTTCAAGTTTTACAATAGAGAGGGTCTACCAAATTTCTACATGTCTACCAAATTTCATCCCGAAGTCCCACGGACACCCAAAAGCCTCTCCTTTGTAAAAGAACCTTAAATTTCATTTAAAAAATTAACATTTACAGACCAACGACCTATCAATTTTTACTGCAAATTATGCTTCAGCATTAACAATAATTAATTATATAATAATTATTTTTTGTGGTATAAGTATTCAAATACATGTTTATCGTCACTGTAAAGGTGTAGAAATGACTCAATTACGAAATATGAATAAACAAATGAGTATTGTTTTGGGGGCACAGGTGATTTGAAATAAAAAAGCCCTAAAAATCCATTTCCTCATTACCCATCTTCAATAATTTATTTTAACAATTTTAGGCTATTCTTCCTTTATTACCTTACCTCTCCAGTTTATTCACCAATTTTAATTTTTTATTTAATTTACCTGGTTTACTTTCTTCGTCTATTGCGATATTCTTTACTTCTAGTTTGGCATCTTTAGTTGCTTTTTTAAATCCTATTGTATGATTATTTATATTTTTTAAACTTAAAAAAACAAATTTAAAAGGTAACAATTTTGAGTGTAAGAAATTACAGACAAATAGTTTTTCGATGCAAAAATAATTCAAATATTAATCAAGTTGCTCCAATGCCTGAACCTACAATGCCAGAAAGAACTATACAATATATAAGATAATTAACTAGAGTTCAAAGTTTGGAAAATCCCGGATCCGGTCTCGGGATCAAAATATCCAGACCGGGCCCGATTTTTTGAACCCGGCTCCGGATTTAAAATAAAATTCTTTATAAAAATCTCGCAAGAATTATCCAACTTAGTATAAAATTAAGTAAATATTGGGACAATTAATTAAATATTTATTGGGATTAATTTCCCATTTCGTATCGGAGCTTGTGTCTGCGCGATGGACTGATGTTAGACTCAGTTGGACTCTTATCCTGGTTTTCCTGAAAATACGAAAAGAATTTTTTAAATTTATTCTTCATCCCCTCAATTTTTAAATTATTTTTAGCTACTTAATTTGTAAATTAAAAGATTAATTTAAAAAAGAAAATTTTTGTCAAGTAATTAGTTGGTCATTCACACAAAATTATCATGTAAAACCAATAAAATTAAAGTTAATATTTGTACTTCATGTCTAGCGAATTTTGGGGGACAAACACGGATAGAAAAAGATTGCTGTACGTAAGTTGGGCGCAGACGGTTTGGGCGCGGATCTGAATATTGCTCTTAATAGTGAACATAAAATTCTGAAATTTTGTTTAAACATTCCTTATAGTGTTAGCTATTTTCTCTAAAAATTTCAAATTTTTGGTCCAATATTTAAAAAAAATATTGAGAAAAAATCTTTAAGGACAAGTAATTTCTCGTTAAATTTTGACCTTTTCGACCATAACTTTCGGATTATTTAATCGAAATTTTTGAAATTTTTAGAGGAGTTATACAGTGGAATTAGACGTTAAAAAAGGTACCTTAAGTTGAGGTTTATTTAATTTTAGAAGTATCTAAATTTTATGTTTGACAATGTTTCAAGTTGCCAATGTTTGATTTTTATTGATGTTAATTAATGAATGTTTGATGTTCAAACATTGACAATGTTTGAACGTTTGTTTGATGTTTGTAGTGTTGACAATTTTGATGTGATGTTGTTTGTTTGACAATGTTTGAATATTTGTGTTGATAATGTTTGATGTTGTTTGTTTGATAATGTTTGATAAATGTAAATGTTTGTTTGATGACAATGTTTGTTGATGTTGTTTGACAATGTTGATGTTTCGATGTTGATAATGAATGTTTGATGTTTTTGTTTAATGTTTTTGACTGTATACAATGTTCCCCGCCAAAACCACCTTCACGTCGAGACATCCTCACCCTTACAAGAAAGTCTCTCTTCTTTTACCATACACTTTCTCACTCACTTTTAGTTAAAACTAAGGGAGTACTTTAATTTAAATAAACGGGGCTTTAAAATTGCAAAAGCTCCGAAAAATGTGAAGGTAATCGAAAACAAATAAAAAAATAATTTTTTTTTCTTGGCCTCGCTCCAATCGATTTTTGGTCAATAAAAATATTTGTCATTTTTCCATTTATTTTGCCTCATTTTTCATTTTATCTCGGTTTTTTCTTTGCTTTTTCTTCTTGTATTTTTTGAATCATTCTTCCTCTTTTCTTTAAATAAAAATTAAAAAGAAGCCGATATTTTTACTAATTTTTAAAGTTTAAAAACAAAAAAAGTTATGGCCTACGCAACAAAATATTATGATTATCAGGTAGTTTTATTGATTGTTAAGAAATAATTCATTGATTGAATGGCTTATCATTGGGGCTTTATTAAAATTCCCCTTAAAGATTAAATAAAAATTTAACAAATTTTTAAACCAATAAATATTATTTATTTACGTCACATTTTAGAAGTTTTACAGTATTTACTCCATTAATTACCCCCCCCCCCCTCATTAGTTAACCACAAAATTGAAGGAATAATTGTTGAAAGTGACTAATTTTAAACGGCCTTTTTATTTAACAACTCCAAAATTAAATTCATAAACCCTTTCCAAGGTGGCAATAATATTTCTAATCCTTCTGGCTGGTATGGCACTGCTAGCACTTGTTGTTGGTGCAATATATTTTATTTGTGTTGTTAATGTAAGTTTCGTACTTTGCTGGAAAAAATTTTCGTTCTCTTATTCAGAGTTTTTTCTTTTCACTTCTAGCTAGACTAGAGTTAGGTTCAGGGCTATAACCCTTAAATCCCGAAACGCTAGTTTTCATCTGATATCAGAGTCAGTCCCGAAAACCACTGGTCATGGCCCATGCCGATCCGGTCTTTTAGTTAATCCTTTTTGCCTTTGATAAAATCACGGAATCTGAGACAAGGAAAAAAGTGATCTGAACGAACTAATATTGGCTATTGACATGGGTTGTCGGTTTTAAACCGAACCGAAACCCCAAAGATTTTCTGTTCGGTTTCGGTTAACCTAAAAATCTGGTGAAACCGATAGACTTACTATTGACTCTTAGACTACCGTTATCTCAAAGTTATAAACTTTCAAAATTAGATGCGAAACAACAAAAAAGGAACTGCCGGATTTAGTCGATATCCCTCCGCAAGGAGTACAGTTCGAAGTAGTCGATTTGAGGAATGGCCTTCACATCAAAGACAACAAACACAAGCATTTCCCCAACAACAGCAACAATATTCACCTCATTTTGAAGGCATTGGTTCTCAAACTATGGGGGGATTTGTTCCAACTAGTCAGGGACAACAAATGGGAAGGTTGGAAAATTCATTTAAAGAATTGAAAAATTTTTAGAAAATTTCGAAAAATTCAAAAAAAAAACAAAATTTTATTTTTGCAGCTATCCCAGTCCTCAACAATTTCCAGTTGTTCAGGAGCTGCATCCTGACTACTTTCAGCAACAAGTAATTTTGAATTTTATTGTTAGTAGTAGGATTGCCGTTTTAGGACCGGGCCGATGTTCGAGTTATTTTTTCGGACCTTATTTTATCGAGCCGGGCCGTTCGAGTCTTTTTCGGGCCAAAATTCGAGGTCCAGTTCGATCTTCCGAACCTGGCAAATTTTAAATTTTTCTCTATTAAAAATTAAACCTAAACTCTTAAAATAAATTTTTTAAACCAAAAAATTCTTTTAGGGTCCAATAACACAAACGACTGTATACCAATATGACCAACAACAACCAAGAACTTCAGCATCCTATCATATGTCTTCCGTTTGAATAATTAAAAGTATTGACGAAAATGAACAGAGATAGCATTTATTTTTATGATAGTTTTGGCCTGTCTTGAAGGAGAAAGGGGGGTTGGTTCTCTTTTACGAGAGAAAAAATGGAATCCTTTTTGAGAACCCTCTAAATTAAATTAAGTGAATCCGGGGAAATCTTTGAATAGCCAAACTTCCCCTGATTTCGATACCTCTACTCTGCACAGATCAAGATTACGTGATTATACCAGTTATAAAAATGAGAGACCCCCCTCTCCTTTCTTTAATTGGGCCAAAATTAGATTCTCCACTAGAAAATGTTTTTCAAGCAAAAAGTGCACTCCCGACATACCCTAGGGTTATTGTATCGTCGAGCTATAACTTCGTTCAGTCAAGACGCCCTAGTTAATGTTCTAATACTTCTCAACGAGTTGAAATAATTAAGGCGTCTGATAATTTTTAAACAAAGCTGGTGGTGCATAGACTTAATTAATTTTATTTATCAGACGCATATACCTTTGTTCGATATCATTTAAAATTTTCATTGTGCCAAGTTTTTAAAACTGCCTAACTACTTAATATTTAGTCATACTTAAATAATTTAATGAATAAAAATAATTTTCATTATTTTAATAAGTAAAATTCCAAAAATTACATTTTTGGAACTCATCAACATTTTTTCCTAATAATGTCCCTCCAAAATACTTGGACTCTCAAATTTTTTGGATTAATCTTTTTATATATTTATTCAGCAGCAAACTACCCTAATTTACAAAAAAATTTTTTGAAACCAATAATTTTATTATGAAAAATTTTCAAACAACGGGGTGTTCCAAAAACTTAGACAGTTTATTAAACTTTACAAAAATGCTTAAACAATTACTAAAAGCAAATAAAAAATTTTAAGAGTATCTCCATTGATATAGAGTAGGAAATAAAAGAGAGCTAAGTCTTTAAATTTCATCGGCGTCTCAAGAATCAACGGGAAATGGGGGTACAGTACTTAAAAAAAATATTTTAACCCCCTTAGAGATTATATAAAATTTTTTCTTTTGGGCTATTTAAAGCCCATAAAATTTGCTATAAAAGAGTCCGTGCCTATCTGTTTGGCACATGTGTATACTTAAGCTTAAAAATGCTCAAAACTCGCAAAATACTCCAAAAAGATCATTTTAAGATCCCCAAAACTTTATGTACATGAGTTCGTTATTAATCAAGTTATCTTTTTTTTACTAGTTGATTATTTAACATATTGTATAGTTCTATTCGGCATTGAAGTTTCCGGCATTGGAACAACTTGATTAATATTTGAATTATTTTTGCATCGAAAAATTATTTGTCTGTAATTTCTTACACTCAAAATTGTTACCTTTTTAAATTTATTTTCTTTAATTTAAAAAATATAATTAAGCTTACAATAGGATTTAAAAAAGCAACTAAAGATCCCAAACTAACCCCAAAAAATATCGCAATAGAAGATGAAAATAACCCATGCAAATTAAATAAAAAATTAAAATTGGCGAATAAATTGGAGATGTAAGGTAATAGAGGCAGTATAGCCTAAAATTGTTAAAATAAATTATTGAAGATGGGGTAATGTGGAAATGGATTTTTAGGGCTTTTTAATTTCAAATTTCACCTGTGCCCCCAAAACAATACTCATTTGTTTATTCATATTTCGTAATTGAGTCATTTGTACACCTTTACAATGCCGATAAACACAAATTTGAATACTTATTCCACAAAAAATAATTATTATATAATTAATTATATTTAATGCTGAAGCATAATTTGAAGTAAAAATTGATAGGTCGTTGGTCTGTAAATGTTAATTTTTTAAATGAAATTTAAGGTTCTTTTACAAAGGAGAGGCTTTTGGGTGTCCGTGGGACTTCGTGATGAAATTTGGTAGACATGTAGAAATTTGGTAGACCCTCTCTATTGTAAAACTTGAAACCGTTTCGCCCGAAGTCCCTCGGACACCCAAAAGCCTCTCCTTTGTTAGAGCTTTCCATTTTCTCGGAGAACGTGGGGAGTTTTCCGTAAGTCTAATTTCCAGTTCCAGCGCCTTCAAGAGACTTATTTCATGTCTAGTCACATTTAACTGAATCAGGGATTATCTTACTCTCGATCTAAGTCCAACAACATAATTTTTAATTGTATAATTATCCAATCCCAATGTTTGTGCCAACTCATAATTAGTTAAATATTCGTTTTCTGGTGTTGGTTGGTTTGATATAAATGCAAAAATATTTAAAATAAATATGGGAATTGTCATTCCAACGAGTAATAACAATTGATGTTTAAATTTAATTTCAACTCCTCTTAATACAAAAAGTATTTCTAAATTATTTTTCCTAAAGTTTTACCGTACAACAGCAAAATAACGATAAATAAATAAAGTACAGACATTCATTGAGGTAACTCTTGCCATAAAATGATTAATTCGGAGAAGAATAGATTGCCAAGGATTTGGTAATAAATGTATAGGTCCGTAATTCCAATTTGTTCCGACACCATTATCAGAAATATAAACCTTTTTGATATAAAGATTTTGGATTATTGGATTTTTTTGCAATAGGATTCTGTTCACTAAAACAAAGTTAAAAATAACTTACCGGTCTCACTATTATTGCCTTTTTTTTATATTTTAGTTATTTTTGACTGGTTATGTGTAAACTAAAAATGAGACAGATGTTCAGTCTGGTCAATGAACTTCATTTTCTTTCATATTTTTGAAATCCTATGAGCAGATAAAATTATGTCTGACGTCGTCGTCGGAGCCGAGTTTGACAAAAGGAGTTGGGTAATATGTTTAGATAATATATTTTTCCAGCACCCAAATATTTATTTATTTACCGGTTGTGTCAAAACAAACATACAAATCCCAACAATATCCACAAAACAAGTTTGTAAAAGTATTTTGCTATAAACTTGCATTTCAATCATTGTATAACGTAAAATTAGCCAAATTAAAAACCAATTAGAAAACAATCCAAATGTAGCAAAACAATAAATTATTGTTGAATATATTTCTCCTATTAACATTTTTTCTTTACAAAAAAAAATTATGTCTAGTAAAAATTTTTCAACTTAATTTTTATGTTTATGACAAGCACAACTTTATTTATTTCTTAGAAAATTAAACAAAAAATATTTTTTAATTAATTATCCCACACTTTTTAAGCTCATATTTAATCAAATAATTTAATGCTAGCATAAGTCAGAAATGTTTCCTGTGAGAAATTACCCGTCCCATGAAAGTAAACTTGTCCCAAAGTGGTTTGTAAGCCTAATGAAAGTATGCCCCTTTAAAATATTTATACTCAACAATGAACAATTTTTTAAAAATGTTTGGAATAACTTAAGTTGTTTGACAAACAATGTTTAAAAACATTTTGTTTTTACAGCATGTTTTGATGTTTTGAATAAAAAATTATTTGGAAAAACAATTGTTTTTAATAATGTTTTCAGTAATTGTAAAACATGTTTTAATGTTTGAGAAAATGTTTTAATGTTTGTTTTGTTTACAAACAAGACAACAATATTTTTGAACAAACAGACATTATTGACAACAAATGTTTTTCAGACAATTTTATGTTTTATTTAGATGTTTTGTGTTTTAAAAATGTTTTTAACAACTAAATGTTTGGAACAACTAAAACTTATTCTTAAGTTTCTTTAAAGGAGTTTTAGGGAAACATTTTTTGTTTAGAGGAATTTGTTTTGTTTCTAAGGTTGTTGAAAAATAAGTGTCTGAAAAATAAATGCGTAAACAACATCCAAATCTTTCAGTAAAATAACTTTAGAAAATTAAAAAAAAATTAAAATTATCCCACACTTTTAATTTACTTTATGTTTACTTAGAAAAATAATTAAAAATTTTATTTAAACTTTAACAATATTCTCACGAATTTTTATTGTTGTTTAAATTAATAAAAAATTAACCCAACCTAAACAGCGAAATAGGGTCAACCCTGAAGACCTACGCCCACAAAACCTACACCCACAACCATCACTTTGATAATTTATTTTTAATTTTACTCCCCTATTTTGACTGGTGCATGGAAACACTTCAATTTTTATTTTGAAAAGACATTAAGAAAAATCTACAAAAATTCGAACAAGCATATTTATTGATGCTAAGAGGAAATAAAAAAGAACTAGGCCCATATCTTGTTTTAGAACCGCGATCTCGATACCCTGAAATCAACATAGAATAGGTAAGCAACTTTAAAAAAATTTTCGACCTCTTTTGGTACGGGTCGACGCAGAAGACCCACAGACAGAAGACCCAAGGACAGAAGACCCACGGACAGAAGACCCACAAGGACAGAATACCCACAGACAAAAGACCCACAACTATTTTTCAGTTTTATTGTGCATAAATTTTGGCGCGAGGGATTTGTTAATTTTATTAGTTTTCCACAATAAGAGGTTGATCCAAAAACGGGGATGTTATTTTAACAATATGGGATGTTGTTGCAAAAACGGGTGAATTTTCGGGATTTTTAATATTGTCAAGGTCGTGTCAAAAAACATAATCCGATTAGGATCAGATATAAAAATGGTAGAAAAATAGCTAATTGGCCTTCCAAAATTCAAAGAATTTACACCTATGTTGCTAAAAAAGTAGAAACCTTGCTTCTTGCCCTTTCATAATTCCCAAAATTTTTGTCTGCGATAGATTAGGGGACATTTAGATTATAGATCAAAGAGACATTTAATATGATGGGGTATTTAAGATTAACTGGATTATAGCGAGAAGTCAGTTAAGTCCACATGGAGGGATGTCGTGGATCATTGGTATTAGCAGAGATTAGGTAATTATTTCTGAGTAAGATGGAGGGATATCGGTTGATAAATGCGGATTAGTAGAATTATAAAAGCTTAAAAGGTTTAAATCCGTTTACTCCCCTTTAAATCCCCTGACATATCCGATTTTCTGTTTGAGAGAGATATCGGAGTATTACTTCTCCCGGTTCCTGTTATAAACAATTTAAGGATAAGAATAGACATCGGTGGATCTGAGATTTTGGTTTTACCCCTATATTCTCTAAATCCCACGCTAAACCAACATATCCCAATTAATCAGCCGCTCTTCAATCCACTTTTTCTTTAATCAAATTTTATTTATTAACTTTGGAATAAAATTTTTTTTAATATTTTAAAAATATTTTTTTTAATCTTGTGCCTAGAAAAATAGACAAGTCTTTTTCAAAATTGCCTAGAAAAATGGACAAGCCTTTTTCAAAAATTTCAGAACTCTTCTTAAGTTTTGGTTAAAAATTTTTCCTGTGGGTCTTTTGTCTGTGGGTATTATGTCCTTGTGGGTCTTCTGTCTGTGGGTCTTCTGTCTGTGGGTCTTCTGTCTGTGGGTCTTCTGTCTGTGGGTCTTTTGTCTGTGGGTCTTCTGTCTGTGGGTCTTCTGTCTGTGGGTCTTCTGTCACTACGCCTTTTGGTATGTTTTAAATTTTTCTTTTAGGCTCATTCGAAAGCCCTTGAAATTCTCTACAATTTAGCAATAATCTTATCTCACAGAAAATTCGGCGAAACGCCGAAAACAGAAAATTTACAGAAAAACAGAACGATAAATAAAATTGTATATTTTTGTTAAAATTTAAAAATATTATTCGAAAAATACTCTATTAAGATTCACTTTATTAAACCCTTCGGAACAACTCTAACATAAATTTTAACCAGGAAAATTTAAGACAAAAACCAAAAAATATTAATTCTAATCAAAACAAATCCCTCTTTTTTTTCTCATTGTTTTGTCATTTTTAATATTTGTTTCATATGTACTTCAATATAATCTTGAAAAGCTGCTGCATTTTTAGGGGCAATGTGTAACCGAATTTGTTTTAATGATTCTGCAAATATTTGGGAATCTAGAGGGCTGAGACGTTTCTTTTCTGCTCCAATTGTTCGAAGCTGTTTTTAAAATAATTTTGAAAACTTTGAAAATTTAAAAAATTTCGATTCATAAGGTACAAAATGGTCATAGAGAAAACTATGATTACCAGACCGTCTCACGGATACTGATTTTGGTATCCGTATCAACATATTTACGGCGGATACAGGCGGATATCCGCAGGCATTTTGATATTATCTGTATCCATATCCGTATGCATGAGTAGGTCTGATAATTACTCCCATTTTGCTTCTGACCATTTTGTACAATGAAAGCAATTTGTCTAACTAGAAATTTCAAAAATATTTTTAAGAACCTGTAAAAGTAGAGAAATTAATGAAGTTATTAAATGAAGTATTCGTTTGTTGCGAACATTTAATTCACTGTTACTAAAAAATTAAAAAAAATTAAATTAACAAAAATATAAAAAATTACCAATGTTTGACGATTTGGAAGGCATGTGTCTAAATAAAAATAAATTTAGAAATGAATTTTTTTATAAATAATATAGCTAGCTAGCAGGGGCACGCCCAAGTAGGCGCGCAGCCATAACAGCGCAAAGCCATAAACTTGCTGGAAAATTTTTTGCCCTCGTCAATTTTGGTACCAATCTCTTTAGCTCGATGAGAAGAATCGTTTAATACTAAATTTGGTAAGATTCGGAATCTTGAAGCAGATATATGCTTTGCGCCGTTATGGCCGCGCGCCTACTTGGGCTGTACCCTAACTAGCACTCTGATAACGAAACTAAAGCGAAAATATTAAAAACTATTCTCCAATTAAAAATTAAAAATAAATTTTTAAAACAAACATTGCATGTTTTTCTGAATATTTCAGGCCTGTCCATTGGTGTTGGATTACTTAAATGTGGAATTAATGCATTATAATGTAAATGTATTGATGACATATAAGATTCCAAAAGTTTATTTACTGTTTCCAAATCGAGAATTATTTGAGCAAATTTTATCTAAAATTTTAGGGAATTAATAAAATAATGAGAAATATTGAAATAGAAACCATTTAACATCAAAACTCAAAATCACTCCCTCCCGCCGAAAGTAGAGTTAATGGATACCAATGGCGTATCCAAAGGGGCTGATACCAAATGGGGTAAAGTGGGAAAAATTGTAAGAAGACGGTCTAAGAAGCCCCCCCCCTCTCCCAGAAACCGACCCCCTGGATACACCTTTGCTGGAACGAAAGAAACCAAGGTATTCTAAATACCGTGAAAGCTCTAATAGAAGCCCGGTCCTAATAGAAGCCCACCCAATGGGGGGTATTGAAAAATACAAGCCCAGGGCTTCTATTGGAGCTTTTACGGTGTTCGGTTTGGCTTCTAATGATGACAAGAAATTTTCCTATCCCCATGGCAAAGTCATTCCTAAACATTAGTGATGCTCGGGTATCCCGATCCCGACTCGGGAAAATTTTCCGAGTTTTTGGCCTCCCGATCCCGACTCCCGGTGTCAATTCCCGACTAAGTCGGGAAATTTTTACACCCCTAAGAATGGCTTTTTCAGGCAAAATTATATTTTTATTTATAAAAAATGAAGAAATCTGGCCTCTTGGTCTTCCAAAATTCTCAAAATTTTCGCCTGCGGCGCTGAAAATGGAAAAAGCTGTGGAGTTCTAGTATAGAAGATTTCTGCGATTTACTAGGATTATGGTGAATCTGAAGAGATGAGGGATTTGCAGTAATAAAGAGAGATAAAAATGAGTGATATCAATGGATTTGAGTGATTAATGTTGCATAGGGGGTGTTAATACTATAAAGGGGACGATGATGGGACGATGATGATGATTAATCTTTTTTTTCTCGTGATAACGATTTAAATTTAGTATTATTTTTCAACTCCAATGTTCTCTAAATTTTTGCCTGCAGCGCAAAAAATGGAAGAAATCTGACTTCTTGACCTAAAAGTTCTCAAAATTTTCGCCTGCGGCGCTAGTAAGAAAATGCCTGGCTTCTTTACCTTCCAAAATTTTCAATATTTTCACCTACAGTGAAAAAAAATCGGAATTTTTGGCGCCGAAGGCGCCAAAAATTTTTTTACTGCTAATTCCCGACTCCCGATCCCGACTCCCGAGGTCATTTCCCGACCCGACTCCCGTTTCCCGGGTTTTTTCTTCTCCCGAGCATCACTACTAACATCTCCGTATTTATGACCTTTTTGGCCCTTCTAAAATCCCACTAATTTTCGTTTGCTGCTCTGAAAAGGAGGACATATGTAGAATAAAAACACCCCTAATGCTCTACAACTTTGGGGACCCTATCACTCAATCTTCATTTTAAAAAAAATTAAAAATAAACTTTAAATTCATGTGGATATTTTCCACCAAATAAATTCATCCGTTCAGCACAATCATTCATCGATATCATATTTGAAATTAATTGTTTCTTAGTTTCCAAAACTTTGCATAATTTAACAAGAATTACAAGCATTCGAACTGGGAAATTTCCAACTTTTTCTTCTTTTCCTGAAAAAAATTTCATTAGAATTTTAATACACCGTAAATGCTCTAATAGAACCACATGTGCTCCTATTTTTCGATTCTCTAGTAGGGTGTGCTTATATTAGGGAGTGTGCTTCAGATAGAGTGTGGTTCTATTAGAGCATTAACGGTAGTTGGATTACACTATAGCTGCACATATAGTTTAGGTATAACTCAATTTATGGTCCAACTTTTAAATTAATTAATTGGCCACTTGATGGAAAAGCTCCCCTAAAGATATGTTAGGATACATCACATTATAGTATAAAGTATAATTTTTCAGACGGGAGAGTGTATCCTACCGACTGTAGTTAATTATTTCTAAAGAGATGTTAAAAGGATGGAATTTTTTAAAAAGACGGGTCTTTGTAATATCCTAAGCGCATCAACTAACAAGCTCACTCAATTAATCCCTGAATGTGACATTCTAAAAATAAGTGACATTCTAATAACTGACATTCTAATAACTACCCAGCCCAGTAAATCCCCCCAAAAAATAAAAACCTATAACAGCTTTAACTGCCGGTTTATCTCTAGTTTCACTTTCATTTTTAGCCAAAGAATGCAAAATTTGTTGATTTTCAGTAATTGTAGGTTTTGAATGTTGTTGATATTCTGCTACATTTTTAGTTAAATTATTTTGATTATAATTTATTGGTTGCTGTTTTTCTAAAGAAATTGACTGTTGTTGAGAAGAGGAAGAAGATTGTTGTTGTTGCTGTTTTTGCGGGGATTTTGTTGTAGATAATGGATTTATTATTCCACTTGAACGACTTCTGTTGGCATGATTTTGTTCCAAAAAGTATTGTATTGATAAAAGATCTGCTGGTTGGTCAAACATTAATTCATAATCCTAAAAAAAGAATTTTTTAATTTTTTTTAAATTATAGGGGCTTATTGCTTGTAATAAATAAAGAAGGAAAAGAATAGACCAATGTGTGTCATTCAATTAATCTTGGGAAAAATTAAGTTCGGAATTTTGAGAACATTCAAAAAAATAAAAAATTTAGTTCCACAAAGATTGTAGATAAATTTTAAGTTTTTATAAAATTTTTATTTTTTGTCTCAAAAATATAAACGAAAAAAAGGTAGTCAGTTAGTTAACAAAAAATACAAAAAAAAATATTGTTAGTTTAAAAATAGAAATTTGGATTCAACAACGGAAGAGGCTTTAATTGGAACCACCAAGAGAAAAAGGCTAAAATCAAAAAAAATCAGAAACCCAAAGTTGTAATTGTTACTTATTTATTAATAGGACAACTACATATGTAGAATGTGGGGATACCCAAAAATAATTTTAAAAAAACTCGTTCAACTCCAAATATAATTTTTTGTCGAATCCCTCCTCATATTTAAAAAACCCTTATTTTATCAAAAAAAAACAAACTTTAATAACACTCGGAGGAATTGCTGAATCTTCAAAAATAACTCGGTAAGATCCTTCCCCAGCAGAGACAGCATCAATCGAACCAGCATAAATTCCATCTTTTGGATTATGAACACGAGCATAAATTCTTTGTCCCAAAACTGGTGGACGAGGCAAATATGAAGGTAAATCAATTGAATCATCATCTATTGAAGAACAAGTCCCTTCATAGATTTGACGTATTTTTTGTCTTAAATTAAGAAAAAATTTAAAAGAATCCTAATTAAACAGCTATTTTGTTTAAATCCCACCCCCTACTTATTGAGTCCAACAAATATTAAAGTCAATCATTTCAACAACTTTATAGTACCCCTAAAGAAAGATTTTTATAAAGAACACTAGTGGACCAAGTAAAATTTTAAAGCTTTAAGAAAGAAAATGAGACTCGAAAAAGTAAGGGGTAATACAAAAAGAAAGCCAAAAAATGAAGAAAATTACAGAAAAATTGCACTAAATACAATGAAGAAGCTAACATATGTAAGTAGAAAGGTCATAAGCTTATCAGTTTCAAAACTAAAAATAGTTAAAAGCTCAATAAAAAATAATATGTAAAAATAATTTACCTATCCCCCTCTCCTTCCGAAATAAATTAAAAACCTGACCTACTCCCAAACAAATAATAAATTTTTAAATCCTTTCTCCCCTGACAAAAAAAATAAAAATATTTTTCCAAACCGTTTTTCTTCCAACGCTTCTCTTTCTTCATTCAAAAATGCTTGAGAACAACGTCTAGGCCTTCCAACAAGTCTTCTAACTTCTCTCCATTCTGGCTTTCTCATTTTTGTGCATTTTAAATTTGGAAAAGATTCTTTCATTAATTGGGCAAATTCATTTTCTGACAAAAATATTTGTTGATCAACACCCGAGTAAAAATACTCGCAAAAAACGAAACGACGAGCTTTTGGTAATTTTAGGACATTCTGAAAATTATTTTGAAAATTAAAGAGTCATTTAAACAAGATAAAGCAATTTTTAGTAAAAAATTAAGGAAAATAAAGGATACAACCAGATACGGGTATTTTAGGATTCCACAACATTTTTTAAGTTTGTGACATGCAGAAAGTGAGTTTAAGATCATCCAATAGCTTGTTATTTTTTGTCTACTCTATGGGTCACTTAAATTCTAAAAATTGATATAAGCTAACGAATAATCTTGGAGCCAGTTTTCCGCCAAGCACGTAGCCAGGATTTTTTTAGGGTGGGGGGCCAATGGAGGGAAATTTTTTTGCACCGAATTTTTGGCGCCGAGGGCGCCCCCTGGCTACGGACCTGGTTGCCGCAGATTACAGAAACAGACTGCAAGAAATCCAGAGATACTCAGTAAAAACCAAAAATAAACGAAAAAAAGAAAATAGAACGCCCTATCCTTTTTGCCCTATTTTTCAAAGAAAAAATTTTCAAAGGATTTTCACTAAAATTTTTTTAAATTTAAAAACCTCATATTCCGCGTTTTTACCTTCAATTTCCTCAAATCCGCCTTCAATTGTGCTGATAACAAATCTGCTACAGCCCCTTGTTGAAATGTTGCCGTTCTAGATTGTTGCCCTCCCCGCTGGTTTCCACCACTTTTTGTGGCCACATTTGTGTTTGAAGGAAATTTTACATTAATTTTTTGTTTGTTTGTGTTTAGTGTATTTGTAACATTTGTATTGATGTTGTTATTGTAGTAGGTAGCTGAAGGGCTGTTATTACCACCTCCGACAACGACAACTGTGTCGCTCTATAAATTGAAGAAAAATTTTAAAGAAATTTCAAAAAAAAATTTTTTGGTTTTTCAAATTTAAAAACCCCAAAGACACAAGAGTCACATGTTGGAAACAAAGAAGCTTTAAAGTTCTTCACCTAAAAGGGAATCTAAAGTCGAAAAATCATCGAAAACCCCAAAAAATCGGAAAAAGTCTGATATGTTAAACTTAACAAAATATTTTCAAACTTGTATCAAGTCTAGGCATCTATGTAATCTTAAAGACAGGAAAAGCTTTCGTTTAGACGTTCAGGTATCCGAAACCGAGTAATCCGAATCAAGTTACTAGGTTCAGTTCCGAATCGAAAAGAAATAATTGGGGTCTATGAACTAGAGACCGGTGCGGGACGGGATCCCCCCGTCCCAGAATCCCGCAATTTTTCAATTTGCGGAATTTATCCCGCGGGATCCCATCCCGCAGATTTAAAAAAAATCCCGTATGCGGGATCCCGCAAACGCGATTTTACCGGTCTCTATTATCCCACTAAAATTCCCTATAGGGTTTTTACATCCATTTGATAAAATATTGATTTTATCAAATTCCTTCCAGAAATTCCTTCCAAAAAATTCTTCCAAAAAATCCTTACATAAAGATTTGTTGCATGCCCACGAAGCGGATATCGATGATATTGTTGCTGTTTTTGAGAAGGTGTTGAATCAGTATTTTCAGTCATTTAATTTGAATTATTGCCTGAAAACATTAAAAAAAATTGCCGTAATTTTAAATTCGAAAAAATTTATTGTGATTTTTTTGAATTTAAAAATTGTAAAGAAAGGAAAAAATTGTTTTGTGCTAAATTTTCAAAATTGGGTATTTAAAAATGTAAATAGAACATGTAGATTTAACTGACTGGTAGAACACCTGTTCGTATTCTTATCGATAAAAAAATTCTAAAAATCGAAACAAGTAAAGAACAAAAAAATACAAGCTTTCGGAATAATGGCTTTTAAGAATGTTTGTGTGTCTCTCCTTTATCTATGTTTTCTTTCTCTTTCTCTAACAGTTGAGTGCGACCAGTTGAGTGCAGTTATCCGCTGTCTTTTTTTAACCATTCTTTTTATTTGGGATTTTCTTTCGGTCTTAGAATGAGGTTATACCTAAATTAAAAACAAAGCTAGGCTCTTGTCCAGTTTATGAGTCCCATGAAAGTATATGCGTCCCATCAACAAAAAATTGGATTTTTCTTGGTGTTGCAAAGTAGGGGTATGGTTCCAAAGCATTTCTTCATGTTCGGGATCTACGTCCACTGGGTCTGGGACCGTTCCTTACCCTATCTCTGAAATTTCTGAAAGTTATAGCCAATTTTTAAAAATTTCAGAAAAACGATTTTAACTTTCAGAAATTTCGAGGTATAGGGTAAGGAGCGGTCCCAGACCCAGTGGACGTAGATCCCGAACATGAAGAAATGCTTTGTAACCATACCCCTACTTTGCAACACCAAGAAAAATCCAATTTTTTGTTGATGGGACGCATATACTTTCATGGGACTCATAAGCTGGACAAGAGCCCAAAGCTAATTATAAAATTTGGCAAAAAAATAATAGTGTTCATTTCACTTATTAAATTAGTGGCCCTAAGTAGAGCCGTTTGTGCCGAGGTTTTCGTTGTTGATATTCTATCACCGCTTCTATTCCTTCCCAAAACGCTTAGCAAGCTTGCTAGGCAAAACCACCTTGGAAATAGTACACTGAACACAACATTAACACAATTTAGAACATTAATCCTTTAGCTCTAGAAAGATTGAAAATTTGCAAAAAATAAAACATGCTGCTTAGAATAGCATAACGATTTCACTCTATTTAAAAAACTAAAGCATCGTACCCAATATCCATCCAACAATCTTCGATACACATACCAAAACCCGTTGAACTCTAATCCAGCTAATATAAGAATATTTCAATTTAAGCTTCGCCAAAGGCAAAGCATTTCCAAAATTTCTCCCAAGAAGCCACTCTCGCAAGGGCAAGGTCTTAATATTTACCTTATTTCTTGGGTAATTAACCAAAGACTTCAACCAAATGAGAGTATATTTGAAATAACCATCGATAAATTTCAGCTGTGATATAAAATTTGACATTTATTTAAAAATAAAGGCAAAGATGGAAATATTTTTCCCTATATCTCTTTCATTTATTATTTCTCTAATTCTATAGCAATATATAGTCTATAACAAAAATGCCTATACTTGAGAAAATAACGAAACGAATAAATTCAACTAAATTTCATAACGTCCAGATAGCTAAATTATTTAAAAATGTGAAGCAATTTTAACATTCATATTCAAACGGATACTCAACTGCTCTGAATAGAAATGTTTTCGGTTTAAAATTTAATTATAAAATACTATAGTAGTCAGACTACAAAACTTTTTTTAATTTTTAAAATTTTCCATGAAATTAGTGTCTGTATAAAAGAGTACAAAGGCTTTAAAACTTTTTGTAGTTTAAGTGCATCTTCTTGAAAAAAAATAATAAGCACATTATGAGCTTTTCAAATAGATTGAATACTTGGAAAAGGTTGCCAGTTAGACAGGAAATGCTCTATACGCACTTAACATTCGGCACTCAAACGTCCTGATTTTTAACTTTTTTGACTTGGGTACATCCCAATTAGGCGCGCGACCATAACGGCGCAAAGCGATAACTTGCTTCAAGATTCCCGAATCTTCCAAATTTAGTGTTAAATGGTTCCTCTCATCGAGCTAAAGAGATTGGTACCAAAATTGATAAGGGCCAGAAATTTTCCAGCTAGTTATGGCTTTGCGCCGTTATGGCCGCGCGCCTACTTGGGTTTGTCCCGTTTGACTAGTAGTGAAACCAACGTATCCGTAGGCAGAGAAAAAGGGCAATAGCGTAGGCAGTCGGGAGATAGATAAAGAGATAAATAATTTTAAAATTAAGTCCCTTTATTTTCCTTACTTTTCGTCGACTCCTTTTCCTTATGGTTAGATTTAAAAATTTTATTTTACTAATCCAATTATGTAAATTTTTATAAAACTTATTTTTAATCATTTGAGGTCATTATTTCTATTCTTCTTTATATGGAAAGGATTAGCCTAAAAATTTCAATTATTAAGATTCTTTTCAGTGTGAGAGTGAAAAAAAAGGAACTTTGAAATTTTTCTTTTGTATTTTTCTTATTCAAATTTAACCTAAAATTTAAAATTTTTATTCTAAGATTTTTCTATGCAAAGATTGACCTAAAAAACTCAAATTTTTAGAGGATTAAAATTTCTATCGAAGAAATTTTTTATTCAAAGATTGACCTAAAACCAATCAAAATTTTCAATAGGCTCAGAATCTTTATTGTATTACATATCGAAAGATCTTTCTATTCAAAGAGTTAACCTACAAAACTGAAATTTCTATTGTATTCAATTTGAAGGAAAAAAAGGAGTCCTTGAATTATGTAAATACGTAGGTTTAAGAAATGATGAAAAAACAATGAAATAAATAAAGAATAAAAATATCTCTTTATCAATATCTCTTTATCATCTTTATATTCCTTTTCTAAGTAAAATTCGAACAAACGCAAAATCCAATGCTATCTGGTGTGTTTAGTATTTAGTCATGCAAACTTAAGATAGTATAAAAACCAGTGAGTGTTAGTCTAATTGGATCATACTATCTGGTTAGTCCCTGATCTCCTTCATCTAATCCAACCCAACCCACTTTGCCTACATTGTTAATCTCTATATGTGATAGTGTTATCCTCTCGACCCTTAATTAAAATATCACTCACTCATGTATTTAGTTGAATATAATATTATAAAATTAGTCAATAAATAGGTCAAAATTTCAAGGTTATTATTAAAAATCTTAACCTAGTTAAGAAATTTCTCTAAAAATCCAACTGTGTTTTAATTTGAGAATAACCTAATATAGGTGGAGCTAGAACGGAAGTATAAAAAGCGACTTCTTTTGACCTGAAATATCATTCTACTGTTCAACGCCTGCTTCTTCACGATCAAATCCTACAAATACCACATTCATAACCTTATTTACCCATAGCCTGCCTTCATAGAAAATTTAATTTAGCTATAACTTAAAATTTCATTTTTATTGTTGAAAACAAACATTTATTTTTGATTAAATTTCCTTTCATATATCTTATATCAAATTTAATTTTTTCATTTTAAATTTTATTTTCAAAAATGCAACCTACCCCTCCCAAGAAAATTAAAATCACCCCTACTGAGAGTCTTGACTTCTATGTTAAAAAACTCGGTCATGAGACCAAGTTTACCCAAAAATTTAATCTTCTTAAGTTATCAACCAAATTTATAATCACAAATGTTTCCAATAATCCAGAAGGTTTACTAGGCTCGATTTTTGAGTATTGTATCGATCAATCTCTATTAGAAAATCATGAACGACAAATGGAACCAGATCAGCTAGGGTGTATAATTTCGAGTCAGAACCTTGACTCAGACATTTGGATCCCGGTTCGAGAAATCACGTCCAACACAATTGATTCAATTTTGAATCAATTCCTAAAGGTTGCCCAGAGTAAGAAACAGGATAATGGTATGTTATGGGGGGCCCCTTTTCTTGTTTCAATAACAACTATACAAAGAGATGGACTTAATTCTAGAACCGTGCATGGTAGCGGTAGAGAGCTACAAACAATTCATCATAGGATTAATGAACAAAACCTTATAAAAATACGAAATACTGATACTTACTGTCTCTTCCACGCTTTGATGGCTACTTTTGTTCACGCAATATTTTCCTGGCCAAGATGGAAATTCTATGATTATCTCCATAGTCGAAGGGGGATGAAACAACTTCTCGAAAACGATGTATTAGAGCTAATGGAAGAGATTGGAGCTGAATTTAATCAAGAGGTGTACTGCGCTGAAGAATGGGTCCCACGGGTGGTTGACTTATGGAATACAGTGAACAGAGGATGGTTTAAAGTTTATATATTCGGGGATTTGGGGGGAAAACCTATTTATAAATACGGGCCTGATAATTTTGATATCCCTATAATTTTGTATTATAATAAGGAACACTTTGATGGTGTCCGCAAGGTTAGTGACTTATTCGGTCAACCCTACTGTTTATCTTGTGAAAGCGTTTATAATAGGAAATTGAACCATGCAATTTCGTGTAAATCTAGATGTCTTAACTGTTCAAGGGTTGGCCCAGGGTTTCCATGTAAACCTTTAGATAATTTTTCAAAATTTTGTAAAGGGTGTGAGAAAAACTTTAAGAATGAAAACTGTTACACCCACCATATCACCTCGAATTTTTGTAGTTCCTCTAAGAAATGTAAAAAATGTGGGGTTATCTGGGGTGTTAAGAATAATAATAGGAATGGAAGGGAGGGTCATATTTGCTCCGAACGCTATTGCACAACGTGCGGTAGCTACCACGATCCTAAGCGTGGGTGTTACATCAAGCCCCTTCTCATCAAACCCCCAAAGGCGTACCGAATTATCGCCTTTGATTTTGAAACCATGCAGCACCGTGAAGGGGAAAAGGGTAAAATACATGAGGTTAACTTTATAGGGGTAAAAGTAAACTGTCCCGAGTGTATCAATAACGGACCTAACCCTAAATGTTCCATATGTGATGAGTACCGTACGATCACCTTCTCACACAAACCCTTTTATCATACAAAGGTTGACCAACAAAATATAATCGTAGATCCACTGTCATCATTTGTTTC